GAAAGGGGAAATTAACAATAACACCATAATAGTGGGAGTCTTTAATACCCCACTCACACCTATGGACAGGTCAACTAAACAGAAAATTAACAAGGAAACACAAACTTTAAATGACACAATGGACCAGCTAGACCTAATTGATATCTATAGGACATTTCACCCCAAAACAATCAATTTCACCTTTTTCTCAAGTGCACATGGGACCTTCTCCATAATAGATCATATCCTGGGCCATAAATCTAGCCTTGCTAAATTCAAAAAGTTGAAATCATTCCAGTCATCTTTTCTGACCACAATGCAGTAAGATTAGACCTCAACTACAGGAAAAAAACTATTAAAATTCCAACATAAACATATGGAGGCTAAATAACATGCTTCTGAATAACCAACAAATCATAGAAGAAATCAAAAAAGAAATCAAAATGTGCATAGAAACGAATGAAAATGAAAACACAACAACCCAAAACCTATGGGACACTGTAAAAGCAGTGCTAAGGGGAAGGCTCATAGCACTACAGGCTTACCTCAAGAAACAAGAAAAAAGTCAAATAAATAACCTAGCTCCACACCTAAATCAACTAGAGAAGGAAGAAAGGAAGAACCCCAGGGTTAATAGAAGGAAAGAAATCTTAAAAAATTAGGGCAGAAATAAATACAAAAGAAACAAAAGAGACCATAGCAAAAATCAACAAAGCTAAAAGCTGTTTTTTTGAAAAGGTAAATAAAATTGACAAACCGTTAGCCAGACTCATCAAGAAACAAAGGGAGAAGAACCAAATCAACAAAACTAGAAATGAAAATGGAGAGATCACAACAGACAACTCTGAAATACAAAGGATCATAAGAGACTACTACCAGCAGCTCTATGCCAATAAAATGGACAACTTGGAAGAAATGGACCAACCCTTAGAAAAGTATAACTTTCCAAAACTGAACCAGGAAGAAACAGAAGATCTTCACAGACCCATCACAAGCAAGGAAATTGAAACTGTAATCAGAAATCTTCCAGCAAACAAAAGGCCAGGACCAGATGGCTTCACAGCTGAATTCTACCAAAAATTTAGAGAAGAGCTAACACCTATCTTACTCAAACTCTTCCAGAAAATTGCAGAAGAAGGCAAACTTCCACACTCATTCTATGGGGCCACCATCACCCTAATACCAAAATCAGACAAAGATGCCACAAAAAAAGAAAGCTACAGGCCAATATCACTGATGAACACAGATGCAAAAATCCTTAACAAAATTCTAGCAAACAGAATCCAACAACATATTAAAAAGATCACACATCATGACCAAGTGGGCTTTATCCCAAGAATGCAAGGATTCTTTAATATCCGCAAATCAATCAATGTAATACACTACATTAACAAATTGAAAGATAAAAACCATATGATTATCTCAACAGATGCAGAGAAAGCCTTTGACAAAATTCAACATCCATTTATGATAAAAACTCTCCAGAAAGCAGGCACAGAAGGAACATATCTCAACATAATAAAAGCTATATATGACAAACCCACAGCAAACATTATCCTCAATGGTGAAAAATTGAAAGCATTTCCCTTAAAGTCAGGAACAAGACAAGGGTGCCCACTCTCATCACTACTATCCAACATAGTTTTGGAAGTTTTGGCCACAGCAATCAGAACAGAAAAGAAATAAAAGGGATCCAGATAGGAAAAGAAGAAGTAAAACTCTCACTGTTTGCAGATGACATGATCCTTTACATAGAAAACCCTAAAGACTCTACCAGAAAATTACTACAGCTAATCAATGAATACAGTAAAGTTGCAGGATATAAAATTAACACACAGAAATCCCTTGCATTCCTATACACTAACAATCAGAAAAAGCAGAAAGAGAAATTAAGGAAACAATACCATTCACCATTGCAATGAAAAGAATAAAATACTCAGGAATATATCTACCTAAAGAAATGAAAGACCTATATATAGAAAACTATAAAACACTGATGAAAGAAATCAAAGAGGACACAAATAGATGGAGAAATATACCATGTTCATGGATTGGAAGACTCAATATTGTGAAAATGACTAGACTATACTACCCAAAGCAATCTATAAATTCAATGCAATACCTATCAAGCTACCAACGGTATTCTTCACAGAACTAGAACAAATAATTTCACAATTTGTATGGAAATACAAAATACCTCGAATAGCCAAAGCAATCTTGAGAAAGAATGGAACTGGAGGAATCAACCTTCCTGACTTCAGGTCTACTACAAAGCCACAGTCATCAAGACAGTATGGTACTGGCACAAAGACAGAAATAGAGATCAATGGAAAAAATAGAAAGCCCAGAGATAAATCCACCTATGGACACCTTATCTTTGACAAAGGAGGCAAGGATATACAATGGAAAAAAGACAATCTCTTTAACAAGTGGTGCTGGGAAAACTGGTCAACCACTTGTAAAAGAATGAAACTAGAACACTTTCTAACACCATACACAAAAATAAACTCAAAATGGATTAAAGATCTAAATGTAAGACCAGAAACTATAAAATTCCTAGAGGAGAACATAGACAAAACACTCTCTGACATAAATCACAGCAGGATCGTCTATGACCCACCTCCCAGAATATTGGAAATAAAAGCAAAAATAAACAAATGGGACCTAATTAAACTGAAAAGCTTCTGCACAACGAAGGAAACTATAAGCAAGGTGAAAAGACAGCCTTCAGAATGGGAGAAATTAATAGCAAACGAAGCAAGAGACAAAGGATTAATCTCAAAAATATACAAGCAACTCCTGCAGCTCAATTCCAGAAAAATAAATGACCCAGTCAAAAAATGGGCCAAAGAACTAAACACACATTTCTCCAAAGTAGACATACAGATGGCTAACAAACACATGAAAAGATGCTTAACATCACTCATTATCAGAGAAATGCAAATCAAAGCCACAATGAGGTCCCATTACATGCCAGTCAGAATCGCTACTATCCAAAAGTCTACAAGGAATAAATGCTGGAGAGGGTGTGGAGAAAAGGGAACCCTCTTACACTGTTGGTGGGAATGCAAACTAGTACAGCCACTATGGAAATCAGTGTGGAGATTCCTTAAAAAACTGGAAATAGAACTGCCATATGACCCAGCAATCCCACTCCTGGGCATACACACCAAGGAAACCAGAACTGAAAGAGACACGTGTACCCCAATGTTCATCGCAGCACTCTTTATAATAGCCAGGACATGGAAGCAACCTAGATGCCCATCAGCAGACGAATGGATAAGGAAGCTGTGGTACATATACACCGTGGAATATTACTCAGCCATTAAAAAGAATTCATTTGAATCAGTTATAATGAGATGGATGAAACTGGAGCCCATTATACAGAGTGAAGTAAGCCAGAAAGATAAACACCAATACAGTATACTAACGCATATATATATGGAATTTTAAAAGATGGTAATGGAAACCCTAACAGACGAAGAGACATGGATGTACAGAACAGACTTTTGGACTCTGTGGGAGAAGGCGAGGGTGGGATGTTCAGAGAGAACAGCATTGAAACAAGTATACTATCAAAGGTGAAACAGATCACTAGCCCAGGCTGGATGCATGAGACAAGTGCTCAGGGCTGGTGCACTGGGAAGACTCAGAGGGATGGGATGGGGAGGGAGGTGGGAGGGGGGATCGGTATGGGGAACACATGTAAATCCATGGCTGATTCATGTCAATGTATGGCAAAAACCACTATAATATTGTAAAGTAATTAGCCTCCAACTAATAAAAATAAATGAAAATAAAAAATAAAATTTATTTATTCCTCAGCAAGGGCTCAGGAAGGTTTCTAGAAAACATGATGAGGCGAGAAAAGGGGGTGGGGGAGGCAGCTGCAAGAAAGCATGTCCCCAGGGGTCCACCACAGGGGTCGTGTATACCTCTGTGGAGGATTTACAGCCAGAGACAATGGGAGGTGTTTATAAAGATGTAGCAGAATTCATAGTTGCAACAAAGGCAAAAACAAAACGAAGGGGCGTTCTCCGTTCCCCATAAGCATTCTTGAGTGTTCTAAACACTGTGGAGGTCTCTACACTTGCAATTTGATGTGGATTCATTACTAAAGTAGGCTAAGGGCCTTTCTTAAGGGCGTGGGCTGGGTTTTGTTTTGTTTCCATAGTGCATCTGAGCACCCCACCTGCTCAGAAAACCCAACCCTGTACTCCTGCTCCTGGAGACCGCTGGAGTATGGCAGACTCGGACTTCAGCCTCACTGCAAAAACTCAGAGCAAGCAAAAGCCTAGCTGGTCCACTTATACATAGGTTTTTCTATGTAAACAAACAGAGGGCCCTCCATATCTGTGGGTTTCACACCGGCAGATGTGGAGGGCCCGCTATGGGACTTGAGCATCTGCAGATTTTGGTATCCCTCGCGGGTCCCGGAATCAATCCTCGGCGACACTAAGAGGTGAACGTATTAGTTTGATTGCTTCTCCTTACTTAGTACTGGCTGCTGGATATGGCGAGCTGAGTCAGGAGATAGTCCCCAAATGTTTCTCCAAGGTCTACGGAGCTACGATGAGCGCCCACTCTTCCCGTCCACAAATTAGGCACAGGCCCTTGGTCTGGGAAGACGCTGGACCAAGTGTGCAGTACTTGGTCAACTAAGTTGCAACTTGGGAGCCTGAGTTCTTCTCTCACTCGTGCTCCCTATCAGCGCCCCACGTGGTGCCCCCCACCCGCACTTCCTGCCCAACCCCCCCCCTCAAACTTCCTGCCCAACCCCCCCCGCCCCCAGGACAGCCACGCCCCTGCCGCATGCGCACCTCGGCCGACCCAACCCCCAGCGGCTAACATAAACCCCCCCAGAGGGTGTGTATTCGGACTCGTCCTGAGCCGACGCCAGAGTAGCCCTAGCGGTGCCAGATCGCGGGCCGCCGCTTCTAGCCCTGAGTCAAGAGCCGGGGTCTCGGGAGATCCGCGACAGCCTCCGCTGAAGGCACAGCATCCTGGACAGGGGTCTGAACATGAAGCCTCAGCCGCAGAGGGGCCATAGCGCCGATGCCGACACCCACGCGGTCATTGTGGGCTTCCTCGGGCTGGGGGTCAAGGAGAATTGGGAAGAAGCGCACGGTCAGTGGCAGGCTGGGCACTCGGTTCAGAGGATACCCAGAAACTAATTTCCCTAGGGAGGGGCAAGCGGGAGAATTTCTCAGACGCAGCGGGTTCCCACCTCTTCCTCAGCCGGGTTGCTCGACGGCCTGATCTTTGGCTTTGGGTTTCTTCTCTTACAGAGGCCGAGCCCGCGAAGATCTCGCTTCCTAGAGAGAGGGGAGAGGAGCCGAAGGCTCAGTCCGAAACTGAGCAGGGAGCAGCCGCGGAGGGGAAAGAGGCAGGATATGAAGAAGGAGAAGAACAGGAAGGCGGCGCTGTGGGCGCGGGAGATGCGGGCCCCCAGGATGGGGAAAGCCGCGAGGCCAAGGCTGAGGCGGGCGCGGGCGGCGGCGAAGGCGGAGAGAAGGGCGGGGAGGAGCAGCGCCCGGGAGCCCCCGTCGAGGTTCAGGAGGCGGCAGACGGGCTCGGCCGAGTCCGCCAGCACACCTTCACTCTGGAGCAGCTGTGGGAGTTGGAGGGAGTTTTCCACCGCACTCCGTATATCGACGAAGCCATGCAGTAAGCGGGCAGCTCTGGGGCAGCTGGCTGAGGCGAGCGGGTCCCTGTCCTCAGCTCTGGGGTTGAAAACCCCAGGGCTTGGGGCCGGGGCGGGGGCTCTGCACGGTGGGAATTGAGTCTGCATTCTGGTGTGGAGTTTGAATAAGTCACGTCGGGAAACTGTCGGCTCACAGTTAACAAATAAGTCGCCTGAGGCATGGTGGAGTACGTGCGCGGTTGGATTCTACTTTGTTTTAAAATATTGGTTATCAGTTATTCATGGATTATATTTGCATTAATGTAAATACCACGTTGAAGTGAAATTCGCTCAGTCGTGTCAGACTGTTTTCGACCCTATGGACTGTAGAGTCTGTGGAATTCTCCAGGCCAGAATACTGGAGTGGGTAGCAGTTCCCTTCTCCAGGGAATCTTCCCACCCCAGGGATCAAACCCAGGTCTCCGCATTGCAAGAGGTGCTTTCCCAGCTGAGCCACCAGGGAAGCCCAAATACTACATTAAAACATCCTTTATCTTAATTACTGAATTTTTAGTTACCCTTAAAGTTGTGCCTGAGGTAGAATTGTCCCTAAAGCAAGCTACAGAGTGGAGAATGAATGGATTGCTGAGTATCTGTGAATGCAGATAAAATTTTAAAAACTCTCATTTACATTGCACTTACTGTGTTAAGCACTTGCCCTAAAGGGTTTTCTACAGATTGTCATTGAATCTTCACAAGCCTATGTGAACGTGGTAGCTACTGTTTTTTATCCCCGCTTAACCTGTTAAAAAACTGAAGCCCAGAGACATGAAGAGACTTGCCAAAGATCCACACAGCTGGGATGTGGCTGAGATTTGATCCTAGGAGGCTGTTCAGTAGGCAAGGCCAGAGGTGATGGTGTGTTGCTCCAGGTAGTGGTAATGGATAGAAGCGAACAGCTTAAAGAGATATTTAGAAGGTAAAATTGATAGCAATTCATGGTAATTTAGACATAGGAATAAAAGGAAATGATTAGAAAAATATCTGAGTTTCTGATTTGCCCAACTGAATGGCGGGTGGTATACTCACTGAGCTAGGGAATATTGAAAGAGTGACAGAAGCTTGCAAGAGACAGAGAAGGACTGATTGGAGAGGCTGTAGGCAAACCATATCATGGAAACCTCCATGGTGGTAGGAGATGATTTAATGAGAAGGTAAATAGCATCAGCTTTGGCTCAGTATTTTCTGTTCAGTTTGATTACTCCAGGTTCAGTTGGCTTTTGCTGTGTGATAATTCTAAGAATCAGTCTAATTTCTCCCTTTCTCAAGTGCCAAACTCAAGATGCCCCTTGATTTGGGTGTCTAGAACTGCCTATATCTCATTTATACCTTTTGACTGCCTTCACCCAGTTCCCCCACCTGACTCCCTCCCTTAACCACCAATCTAATCTCTTTAGTTTGTTTACTTTTGAAGTATAATTGACCTATGTTAGTTCCTGTTATACAACATAGTGGTTCATTATTTCTATACATTTAAAAATAATCACCATAAGTCTGTCACCATAAAAGATATTATATAATTATTGACTGTATGCCCCACACTGTACATTTCATACCAGTTATTCATTTATTTTGCAACTGGAAGTTTTTACCTCTTAATCTCCTTCGCCTATTTCTCTCCTCCCACTCCTCCTTTCAGACAACCACCTGTTTTTTTTTCTCTGTATATATAATTTTGTCTCTGTTTAGTTATATTTGTTCATTTGTTTCATTTATTAGATTCCACATGTAAGTGAAATCACACAGTGTTTGCCTTTCTGTGTCTGACTTATTTCACTAAACATAATACTCTCTAGGTCCATCCACATTATTACAAATAGCAGAATTTCATTCATTTTTATGACTGAGAAGTATTCCATTATATATACATATACCACATCTTCTTTATCCATTTATCTGTTACTGGGCACTTAGGTTGCTTTCATATTTTGGCTGTTGTAAATAATGCTGCTTTGAACATTGAGGTGCAAATATCATTTTGAATTACTGTTTTCATTTTCTTTGATATTTACCCAAGAATGGAATTGCTGGATCATATGGTAGTTCTATTTTTAGGTTTTTTTTGAGAAACCTCCATACTGTTTTCCATAGTGGCTGTACCAGTTTACATTCCCACAGTGTAGGATTCCCTTTTCTCCACATCCTTGCCAACATTTGTTATCATTTTGATGATAGCCATTTGACAGGTATGAGGTGATCTCATTATGGTTTTGATTTGCATTTCTCTGATGATTAACAGTGTTGAGCATTTTTTTTCATATGTCTGTTGGCCATCTGTGTATTTTCTTTGGCAAAATGTCTATTCAGGTCTTCTGCCCATTTTTGCATTAGGTTCTTTGTTTTTTGATACTGAATTGTATGAAGTGGAGTCAAAGTCACTCAGTCGTGTCCAACTCTGTGACCCCATGGACTATACAGTCCATGGAATTCTCCAGGCCAGAATACTGGAGTGGGTAGCCTTTGCCTTCTCCAGGGGATCTTCCCAATCCAGGGCTTGAACCCAGGTCTTCTGCATTGCAGGTGGATTCTTTACCAGCTGAGCCACACAAGGGAAGCCCAAGAATACTGAAGTGGGTAGCTTATCCCTTCTCCAGCAGATATTCCTGACCCAGGAATAGAACCAGGGTCTCCTGCATTGCAGGTGGATTCTTTACCAACTGAGCTATGAGGGAAGCCCAACCTGTTTTTATAAATATTGGATATTAACTCCTTGTCAGTAATATCCTTTGCAAAAATTTCCTCCTGTCCAGTAGGTTATCCTTTTGTTTTGTATATGGTTTCCTTTGCTGTGCAAAAGCTTTTAAGTTTAATTAGGTCTCATTTGTTTGTTTTTGCTTTTATGTCTTTTGTCTTAGGAGACAGATCCCAAAAAGTATTGCTGTGATTCATGTCAAAGAGTATTCTGCCTATGTTTTCCTCTAGGAGTTTTATAGTATCTAGTCTTACATTTAGGTCATGAATCCATTTTGAGCTTATTTTTTAATGTTCTGTGAGAAAATGTTCTAATTTCTTTTACATGCAGCTGTCCAGTATTCCTAGCACCACTTATTAAAGAGACTCTTTTCTCTGTTGTATATTCTTACCTGCTTTGTCATAGATTAATTAACGATAAGTACTTGGGTTTATTTCTGGACTCTCTAGTCTGTTCTAGTGATCTATGTGTCTGTTTTTAATGCCAGTACCATACTAAGGTTTTTCTTTTTTTTTTTTGGCCACACCCCATGCCATTCAGAATCTTCTCTGACAAGGGATCGAACCCAAGCCCCTTGGAGTGAAAGGGCGGTGTCAGGTGTCTTAACCACTGGACTGCCGGGGAAGTGCATTGATGACTATAGCTTTGTGGTATAGTCTGAAGCCATGGAGTGTGAAACCTCTAGCTTTGTTCTTTTTTCTCGAGATTACTTTGGCCATTTGGGGGTCTTTTGTGTTTTCACATAAATTTCAGGATTATTTATTCTTTGGGTGAATTTATTGTTGGGTGAATAATGTCATATATTTCACTTTTATGTAGGTTCTTTTGTTTTTTAAATTAATTTTTATTGAAGTATAGTTGCTTTACAATGTATTAGTTTCTGCAGTATAGCAAAATGAATGAGCTATACATATGCACATAGCCCCTCTTTTTTTTTTAATTTCCTTCCTTGTCATGTATTTTCATAGGGATTGCATTAAATCTGTAGATTGCTTTGGGTTGTGTGGGTATTTTAGCGATATTAATTCTTCCAATCCAAGAACATAGATTATCTTTCCATTTCTTTGTATAATTGTTAAATTCCTTCAGCAATGTTTTATAGTTTTCAGAGTATAGGCCTTTCACTTGGTGAAAGTTTATTTCACTTCCTTTGGTGAAACCAAACCACCTTGGTTAAGATTATTCTTAGGCATTCTTTTTAATGCTATTTTAAATTTTATTCTTTTTAATGCTATTTTAAATGGGATTGTTTTCTTGCTTTCTCTGATATTATTATTTCTCTGATATATTATTAAGTGTATAGAAAAGCAACACATATCTAATATTAATGTTGAATCCTGAAACTTTATTTAATTCATTTATTAGTTCTAATAGATTTTTGGTGGGGACTTTAAAGTTATCTTTTTTAAAAAATTGAGGAATAGTTGATACACAATATTATATGTTTTAGGTGTACAACATAGTTATTCACAATTTTTAAAGGTTGTACTCCACTATAGTTCTTAGGAAATATTGGCTATATTCCCTGTGCTGTACAATCTATCCTTGTAGCTTATTTATTTTATACATAGTAGTTTGTACTTATTAATCCACTACCCCTATCTTGTCCCTCTCTCCTGTCTCTCCTCACTGGTAACCACTAGTTTATTCTCTACATCTATGAGTCTTGTTTCTTTTTTTGTTATATTCAATAGTTTGTTTTCATTTTTAGATTCCACATATAAGTGGTATCATACACTATTTGCCTTTCTCTGTCCTACTTATTTATTTCACTGAGCATAATACCCTCCAAGTCCATCCATGTTGTTGCAGATGGGAAAATTTCATTCTTCTTAATGTTGAGTAGTAGTCTATTGTATGTGTATACCATATCTTCTTTATCCATTCCTGTGTTGATGGACACTTACGTTTCTTCCATATCTTGATTGCTGTGAATAATGCTGGTATGAACATTGGGGTGCATGTATCTTTTTGAGTTAATTTTTTTAAGATATATACCCAGGATTGAAATTTCTGGGTCATACGGTAGTTCTGTTTTTAATTTTTTGAGAAACCTCCATACCGATTTCTACAGTGGATGCACCAATTTATATTCCCACCAACAGTGTGCAAGTGCTCTCTTTTCTCCACAAGCTCACCAACATTTGTTACTTGTAGTCTTTTTGATGATAGCCATTCTGACATGTGTGAGGTGATATCTCATTGTAGTTTTGGTTTGCATCTCTCTCGTGATTAGTGATGTCTGATTTATTGAGGTGTAGTTGATTTCAAATATTCTATTAGTTTCAGATG